AGAAGTGCAGGTACATGATATGATGAAAGTTGAGATATTTTAATAAGCTATTTTATTATAGAAAAGAATATAATTAAAAAAAAAGTTATCGAAAATACTTTTGTATATGATGCATTGTATCATATAACGAGAATTCAAAATAAATACATCAAAATATATCGATCAAAGTAATGATCAGCCAAATAAAAGGGACATAGTCCTACATTAAATTTAATAGAGAAACCTTTGATTTTTGGACCTACAGTCCAAATATCTAAAGATGTATACTTATGTGAAAAGAAATTGAGAAAAATGAAATTGTAATATAAAATGCACGACTATCAACATAATAAATTTCGCATAGATCGTGTTTGATGAAATCATAATTTCATATTATTTTATCTTGATGATGTATGGAATTTGAAATAAGCTATAGTCAACTCATCTAGCATGACTATTAATGTTATCCTTGAAAGATTTAATATGCTTGAAGCATATTCAAGTGATATTATCATAAGGAAAGTAAATAGGCATTATACTTTTTTTCCCATTACCAAGATTTTGTCCCATTAAGTTTTGCCTGGTAAAATTTTTGAGACAATTTTTGTAGCATACTTAAGTATAATGTACCATTTTTCTTTTATAAGAATTTTTCTCACAGAATTTTTTCTAATAAGATTTTAACAAGTCATATTCTTTATATAATGAATGTCCATAATATACAAGACTTTTACCTCAGAATAATATTCATATACATGTATGAGACTCTTGAAGAGAGATCAACAAGAGTTATTTTGGAATCATCATGTTACTACATTTATCTAATGTTGATAAATATCTTGTATGGAGATGATATTATTGGATAACTATATAAGACAACATGAGGCATACACAAAAAATTGCAGCATCGAACACGTTGAAGTAGAAGACAAGAATGAATTGATATAAGAATTGAAATCAAGGAGAGCGGCTGTACTCTTTTTCTTCGTTCAAATTTTGTCCCACTAAATTTTCTTGACATGATTTTAATAAGGCGGATATTTTGTATTAGGTCATTCAAGGGGGATTTTTGTAAATAATATGATTATTATTGAATGACAATTTGTATCCCTAATTCTTTTCTATAAATATGGAGCTTTGATTTTCAATAAGATATACATTTCTAATAACTTTCCTCTTTTGTTCTCTTTATCTCTCTAGTTTATAACAAAATATAACATAAATTGAAACATTTTAAACAAAAATGTTACATTAGTAATATGTTTGTCTCGATACTTTAAAACGATAAAATAACAGAAGTTTGAGCTTCAAAATTCATTATTTTGAAATTGATAAGAAATAAATCATTATTTCTCTAAAGAGCTAATAGAATTTGACAAGAAGTAAATTTCTTGAAGTATAAATTGAACCAGTAAATCATATATCTTGCTACTGCAAGTATTTTTTGAATTTGGATGAATGGCTTAGTGCCCGTTTGGCCCATTATTTGAAATTTTAATTGTGTAAATAGTGTTTTCTTAAAAAATTTGTGATTAAAAAAGAAGAGAAATTTTTGAAATTACGTGCAACATTATTTTATTGAAGAATATATAGTTGATAAGAAAAGATAGAAAAATGAATTATAATTTTGAAGTGGGCCAAACAGAGGCTCAGTTTGAATTTAGCGATTTTTAACCGTATTTGATTTGGTTGATTTTGAACCAAATCATTAAGAGGTTCACGTGGATCCAAACTAATGATTTCAATTCAATTTGATGGGTTCTCAATTTTATGTTCGCCCCTAATTTGTAATTATTACACATCTTTAGGAAACTTTAAATTGTTTTAGTAGAGTAAATATAAATATGTGCTTAATGGGGTGAGGACCATTTTCGTGACCTCGCCCTGGCCCATGACATGTACTTTTGCATTGTTACCACATCGATTCTTCATTTAGTCAAGGATTACCCCATCTCGTTCGAAGCGGGTCTCCGCGAGAATTAGACTACTAGTTATATTGTGGTTTACATGTTGTACTCTTTATTTATTTATTTTAATTAAGGTTTTGTTCCATTAAATTTCTTGGCAAAGTTTTTAATGAGACAATCTTTGTAGTATATTTAATAGAATAATGTATTCTTTTTCTTTCATTAGCATTTCTCCATAGATTTTTTCTTAGTAAGGTGTTAATGAGGCATATTATTCGCATAATGACTATGTATAACCTCTAAGATATTTACCCTCAATATAACTCACATATGAGACTTCGAAAGATAGCAACAATTTTTGTTTTTCAACAAATTATTATGTTAACTAAAGTCAAACAAGATAGATAAATATATTATTTGAAGATAATGTAACTTCTATGGCATAAATTTAAGGAGAGTATGTCAAAGGGGACATGACATCGCACATTTCTCCAACATTCTTAGATATGCATGAGCTTTAAAGAACCAATGACATCGATTTTCAACGAATTCACTCAAGCAACAATATTGTTGACTTACTCATAAAAACATTGCCAATGTCTACATTCAAATAATTGACACGTGAGAAAGGAATGCATTGATCTAAATATCTTGGGTGATTAAAATCATGGGGAGTAGTTGTACCATTTTCCTTTCACTCAAGTTTATCTCATTAGGTTTTCTTAATAAAATTTTAGTGAGACAACATTTATTTTTAACTCTCCAAAGTATTCTTTTTTGTTCCGTCGTTTGATATTTTTGTTTCACTGACTTTTTATTAAACAAGGTATTTAACTAGATAGTTGTTGTGTAATGAGTTATTTAAAAGGGAGTGTTGTACGTTAAATACTAATTAATGAATGACCATATTGTATCCCTATAATCCTAATTATTATGACTATTGTACCTTCAGTAGTCTTTTTTCCTCTATAAATATCAATGTTTTCAAAATCGGATTAGACATTGATCCACAGAAAAAAAGAGGGTCAATGGGTCAAATTGAGGTTAAATCGGGGTCGACTCGGAAATTAAATTAATTAAATAATTAAAATTTTATTTGAATATATGCTATTTAAAATATAAATTACTCTATAGATATAAAATTTTTGAAAAAATAATATTAAGTTTAAGAGTATTTTAAAATTTTTGATTTTTTAATAATTTTTTTAACAATCATTTCTTTACATAAAAATTAAATGGGCCCAAAAAAGTCATAAGCTACGTATGAAATATGTAGGCCCAATAATGTTATAAACCTAAAAACCTATTCCATTTTATGAAAACGGTCTTCCTTCTCATTTTCTTCTTCACGCAGCTTCTTCTTCTCAATTTATCCTGCGGTTTCTTCCTTCTTGTTTATACCCAGCATCTTATTCCAGATATATATATATCCGCATATAGACGATAGTCTTTCACGTCACTTGGGGCTAGTCAAAGAAGCATCATTGGAGATCTTTTCTCTATACCTACTTTTTTTTTTTTTTTTTTTTAAAGCTAGTAAAAAACTTGATAAAACCATGTCCGGTTCACCAGTTTCCAATTGAACAGGTTATTTTACGGATTTTTATCAGGGTTTGTTTCTCCTATTAAAATGACATAACTGAACATATATCTGGACTGGTTAACGGTTTTCCGGTTGGTTTGATTTTCCAAACACTTATAAATATATGTTTTTGGTTCTCAATAAAATATATACAAATCTATTGATTTCTCTATTTTCTTTTATTTTTTCTATAGTTTATAACAAAAAAATAAAAATTATTGAATAATTTTTAATATCAAAATATTATAACATGAGATTTCCATTTAGCGCTAATTCACTCTTATATAATAATTAATATATTTCATATCTGCTTTCCAAACACAGTTGAGAAATAGTCAAACTTTTAAACAGAGAATCTTTTAATAAATTGATCATTCAAATATTTCTATACGTAACTATTAGACTACAACCGAAAGCAAAATAAAGAATCACTTTTAATCCCTTGCATTAATGTATATTAAGATTTTTTACCTTTTTTAATTATATTACAAATATTTCCTATTTAGCACAAGTCGATTTCATAAAATTTCATAAAATCGAATATTTTACTATTTTTACGCACTCTAATTTATAAAAGCCTTAAACGTTTACATACTCCAACAAGCCTCATATATCGCAAAAGTATAATTAATGTTGATATTGATCAACCAGCCTTGTATTAAGAGGTTCAGTTTCTTCTATTCAATTACAGCTATTTCTTACTTTTTCTGTTTATTTTTTTGCCCTTTGGACATTAATCCAGGTGTTCATCTGTCACAAACGAGGTAAGGAAAAACGTATAAATATCATGAAATCAAGCATCCCATTAGATAATATATACGTCCACATTTATTTTCGTTATATGTGTTTTAAGACAAAGATTTTCTGCTATATTTGCATGCCAGATTCTCGTTCTCGTTATTTTCTTTACGTTTTGATATGAGATGAACAATTGAATAAAATTCATGCAGCAAAAGCTAAATATGCCATGAAGATTATTCTTGTTTATTTGTTCAGACATACATACAGTTCACACATGTATATATTTGCATGTGTAAAATCTGTTCTATATAACTTTTTCTAAAATTTGCAGGTAAATTTAGAAAAAGGAAAATGGGAAAGGTGCAGGTTGGAAGGTGGAAATTTATTGTCTGGTGGCTGGGAATGATGCTTCCGTTAATTAATAGTAAGACTTTGAACGGGTGAGTTATTATTCATGCAAGAATTATATATTCTTTTACTTCCATTTATTTCTCATGTAACTGAGAGTCTTGTTTTATAAAACTGATTTTTAATTCTTCAAGAAATATTATGTAGACAAGGAGTTACTTAAAATTTCTGGTTTTGGAAAAATATGGAAGAAAAGGGTTTCTCATTCTACTCGTTTTAGAAAAAGGAAAATAATTTCTTTTCGGTACAAAACCTTGTATTACTCTTCGTTTATACTCCTAGTGTTGGCCTATGCTTTTCCAGGCCTATGCTTTTCCATACCAATATATTCTCGTGTCTTAAATAATTTTGTTTTTCTCACTAAGTTTTCAGGCTAATATCCCATGTGTTATTCAATGAAACTTAATTGATTATGGAAAAAAAGCACTGAAGTTTATATTCTAATGAAAAATCTGTTGGAAAAAATGGATTGAAGGGCTGATTTGGCATAAATTTTGAGTGGAACTGTCTGTTTATTTTGGAAGTCAAGATTGATTTGTGTTCTCCTCCATGAGAACACTGAAATCATATATTTATGCTCAAGTGAATGAAAAATTGGAATCAAAGTGATGCATTGGAAGAGGTCAATACAAAACCTCTCTTTTCTGCATAAAAAAAATTGTCTTCTACGTACAAAATTTTAGTTTCCATCAAGGTTTTGGTAATACTGTTCAAATACTAAGTCAGTTTGCCAGAGTAGTATCTACAGTGCTTGGATTCTACCGATTTTTCATTGTATCATAGGAAATAGACGTTTAAACTAGACCTCAAGCACCTCAGGCCTCGGGTTGTAGATTTATAGCCAGTTCATACAGTTCTGCAATTTCATTTTCTGTTTTTTTGTTCTTGCTGTAATAGATCAATTTTTATTATTCTATAATTTTATAACAAAATTTATATTGTTGGCTGAATAACCAATTACTATATAGTATAGCACAATTAACTAAGCATGCATCAATGTAATCGCTGATGTCTGTTTATCATAACAAAAAGAATCAACTTGGTAGGATTATTGTAATAATCTTATTTTTCAGCCTTTGTAATTTCAAAGCTAACCTTTTAATGTCAAAATGATCTATTTAATTAGTATATAAAATAATACAAACCGTATCTAATATATAAATTTACTTATAAATAGCATACCTGCTTGCGTATTGCACTTATACACGGGTGGGACAGGGACTTACTTTTTTTGCAAAGTTTCAAAATCTATTGTACATAAGCAGAATTAAAATTATAATCCCACCTTGATCCATCTTTGTTAACTGTAATTGCAGAAGAGCGCCACTGAAAGCCAACATTCAAGACGATTCACCCGCCAATGGCGTTCAATTGCTTCGACAGAAACAGCAAGTAAAATAACACTCTGGCAATTTTACTTTATTATTTGTTATACTCTTATTATATTGATACATAAGATATGGTGGGTCATTTTATCGAACGTGTGAGAATGTCAAAATCTCGTAGAATTATTGAGAAAATTTTCCCAAACAAGTGTATAGCGTCTTCCGGTTGTAATGGAATTATGAAATTTGTGTGTCACAGGTTGTAATGAATAATGGGATTGTCAGCATTACTGTGACGGATCCAGGTGGTTTTGTAACAGATATAAGGTATAAAGGGAGCGACAATCTGCTAGAAACCCAAAATGAAGAAGACAATAGAGGGTAAATATTCACAATTATCTCAATTATTTTCAGATGCAAATTTACTCAACTAAGTTCAATGTAGAATAAACTTTAATTAAAATAAAGGGGAAAACGTTCAAAATATCAAATATATTGCTTATTAATTGAAAGATTTTAATTGTTTACATTATTAAACATGAGGCCTTGACTTGCATTGCAAATTTGATGACATTCTTGTAAATAATCAGGTACTGGGATATTATTTGGAACAAGCCAGGAGAAAAGGACAACCTGGACAAGTAAGTTATAACACTTTTCATTTAATTTTTTTTTTGGCCAAATCACGGCTGAGTAGATTATTTGACATGTGTATGTTTGGTCAAGATAAAATTATAACTTAATCTACAATTCATATAGATAAAAAGCGGGTAATAAATTGTGAGCCTATAAAATGTGTGGTTAACTATTAAAATATTTCTATTTTATACTTGGTGTGTCTTCATTGTCCTGAAAAAGTGAGAACATGCAATATAAAATTAAGATTAAGAACACAAGATTTACGTAGAAATTCAAGACCGAAAAAAACTACGAATAGAGGAGAAAAAATTCACAATATTACAAGAGATGTGACTGCTCCAAATGAGATGATGTTGTGAAATCCTAATATACATCATATATATAATAAAATAGATCCATACCTCTCGGACCAATCCCTCGATTACTACCACTGATTTCCATTTTTCTCATAATTTTAGTTTCATCATAGATGTTGCACTGCAAAGACTGTGCCAAATAGAATTCGAGTCGTACTTCTAGTCATCATCATTGTGTCAAAAAATTTTGTTGGCTTACTTTTTCCACTTTACATACACCTAAGATATGCAGATAAACATGACGAGTGCATTGCATAATAAGCCCCCATTTGGTTCCGATTTTTTGACTTGAAAAATCAGTACCAAATAGACCCTAAGACGTGTGCATAGAGATATATCTAATTTATGCTTCTATATACTACTATCTCCATAACCACTTAGGATGGATCTTGTTCATGTGCAGGTTGGTAGGGACAAGTTTTAAAGTCATTGTGCAAAATACTGATCAAGCAGAGATTTCATTCATATCAACATGGGACCTTGGAGTTGCAACAGCTCCCCTAAATGTTGACAAAAGGTATATCCCAAATTCCATAAGCATAAAAAAATTTGATGCAATCTTGTAACTGCATTTAGAATTTGCCATTACTAAAAGCAGATATATAATGCTGCGTGATTCGCCTGGATTTTACACGTATACTGTGCTTGAGCGTCTAAAAGGATGGCCAGCTTTTGACATCCAAGAAGCAAGAGTTGCGTTCAAGCTTAGAGAAAATAAGTAAACATACAATATCCTCATTTTTTCCTTTTTTCTAAAGAATAATTTGGCTCTGAATTATAAAATCTTACATAAATATCTTATGAATTGTCCGTGGTTTCAACCGTGTTTATATAAATTTATACATAGGTTTCACTACATGGCTATGTCGGATCAGAGGCAAAGGCTTATGCCAATGTCTGTGGATCGTCAGACTGGTAAGGTTCTTGATTATCCAGAAGCTGTTCTCTTGAAGAATCCAACTAATCCGACGTTCAAAAGAGAGGTATAAATGGTTGCACTCGTAGAAATTTGTATATCAAATTCAACAATGCCAATAAGCATGTTTAATACATACTGATAAATAATATTACAAAGAAACTAACAAAGTTTTCTCTTCTTCTCTAATCGAGTAACTGTTATCCAGTTTAACATAGCCAACATGTCATAAGTTGTTCTTCTTTGTTTCTAAATCTAAACTAATGAACCTATGGTTTCTTTGGCAAAAAATGTTACTAATACTACCAGCATATATGCTGCAGAACTTACAGATGGTTTAGCATGACTTTTCCTTTCACTTATTATAGAAAAGATTTTGTAAAAGGCTACCTTAATTTTTATTTGAAAACTAATTCTTAAAAGCAACTACTATTTCAGAAGTGCTTTTTTGAAAAAGTTACATTAGATTAGCGTCTTTTAAAAGCTCTTCTAACTAAAGGAAACACTTTCATAAAAGTTACTTTTGGATCTCAAAAGCTCATTTTGACTTTACAACAGTCATGCCAAATGACCCTTAGTATGTTTTCTGGTGAACAATAATATAGTTGTATATAGTTGTACTTTCAACTTATTAGTTTATATTCTAATGATGTTTGAAAATCCTTTTACGTGTATTAAGTTTATTTATGTAGAGAATTCTGAATTATAAGTTTATATTCGACACATGATAGGTGGACGATAAGTACTTGTACTCGTGTGATAACAAAGACAACAAGGTTCATGGGTGGGTAAGCAGTGATCAAGTGCCAATAGGGTTTTGGACGATAACACCCAGTAACGAATTTCGTACTGGTGGACCATTAAAACAAGACCTTACATCTCATGTTGCTGCTACTATGCTTTCTGTAAGTCTTGTCTTGCCTTGATGCTACTAAGTATTTTATGATATAATTTTTATATTGAATATAGAAAATTAAATTAATTTTTTTCATACTTTGATAATGCTCTCTTTAGTGTAACTATATTAATTAGTTTTCTTGTGTATATATAGATGTTTTTCAGTACTCATTACGCCGGGGAGGATTTAGCTCCGAAATTTCAAAGTGAAGAGTATTGGAAGAAGGTTTTTGGTCCTGTCTATGTCTATCTTAACTCTGATGTTAGAGCCAAACAGAATCCTTCTGTTCTCTGGGATGATGCAAAACATAGGGTTGGTACTGATTTATTGGCTCTGATATTAAAATTTAAAGCTAAATTAATAACGTAATTTATAATAAAAAGGATTGAAATTTATTTGTTTGTGTTCATTAATTCTTACAGTTTGTGTTATTACTCAGATGTTTAAGGAGACTGCTAGCTGGCCATATAACTTTCCTCTTTCAACAGACTTTCTTAAATCCAACCAGAGAGGAGCTGTGAGCGGCCAATTATTAGTTCATGACTGGTATTTACATCAACATTAGCCTTCCGATTTGCTATCAGGATTAGTTTGGATTTTGCAAAATTTAGAAATCGAAAACGGAATTTATTTATATATATGTCATTAATGACAGAAGTATTACGCAATTGCATTCATGCATGTGTTTCTGTCTCAAAATCGATACTAACTGATGTCAGTTCCATCCTCTAATCTTGACTTCGCGAACCGAGAGGATGAATTTTGGAACAATGGCGGAGAATCTGGGCCGAGCTGACATCCTCTAATCTTGACTTCGCGAACCGAGAGGATGAATTTTGGAACAATGGCGGAGAATCTGGGCCGAGCTATCAGACTATCAGTTAGTATCGATTTTGAGACAGAAACACATGCATGAATGCAACTGCACCAAAACAAAAGGAAAAATAAACAACTATTGATGTTTACTAGGTTCATTAACAAGAAACCTGTGGCGGGCGCCTCCGCTTATGTGGGCTTGGCAGCAACAGGAGCCGCGGGGTCGTGGCAGACAGAAAGCAAGGTAATATTTTGGCTTTTATTTAACTTTTAAGCTTCTTTCTAGAAATGAAATAGTGCCTTCTCATTTTGAAATATATTTCTTATATTATTTGTTAAGGGTTATCAATTCTGGACACAAGCAGATTCCAAGGGAAATTTTGTCATTAACAACGTCGTACCTGGGACTTATAGTTTGTTTGCATGGGTCCCTGGTACAATTGGAGATTACAAATATACTTCAGACATTACCATCAAACCAGGTTTTTCTTAAATTAGTTAAGATAATATCTTGATTCTATGTCAGTTAATACTAATAAGGCCATATTAATTTAATTCATTCAGGATCTAATATCAAGTTAAGAAATGTAGTATTTGAGCCTCCGAGGGCAGGTCCCACACTGTGGGAAATCGGAATTGCTGATCGCACAGCTGCAGAATTTTTCATTCCAGATACGAGCCCATCGATAAAGATCCATTCATATGCAATTTCTGGCGAAAAGTTCGATCAATTTCTGGTTACCTGCATTTGTATTTCGAATGCTAAAATCAACCATAATGCTTATATACGTTCACTTTTCTGAATTACAGGTTCAGAGAATATGGACTGTGGACTCGTTACAAGGATCTATATCCTAAGAACGACCTTGTTTACACAATTGGTCGCAGTGATTATAGAAAGGACTGGTTTTTTGCTCATGTTACAAGGTAAATTTCATTTTCAGTCTAGTAAAAATTAATTTTGCGATAAACAAAAGATATTTAACTATGCATTATTGCAACGTAGGAATGTGGGAAATGGTGTGTTCAAATCAACCACATGGCAAATTCAGTTTGACCTGAGAAATATTAACAAGGGAGCAAATTATACTCTCCATGTAGCATTGGCATCGGCTACCGGGGCTGAAATGCAGGTAAGGAAGTTTATTCAAGAAAATTGTTCCAAACTATAAACGAAATATAATCGAGACAAATCTATAATATTATTCTAGATTCTTTCTTTTAATAGTATATATCATGAACAATTGATTATCTTGTTATACATGGCACTGAAATTTATTTTCCTACTTTTGTACGGTGTAAGGTGCGCTTTAACAATCCAAATTTAGCTGTTCCAGACTTCAGTACGGGACAAATAGGCAAGGATAATGCGATTGCTAGACATGGAATTCATGGATTATACTCTATGTACAGTATTGGGATAGCTGGGAGTCGGCTAATTGACGGAAGAAACACGATTTTCTTAACACAGGCAAGAACCGCAGGACCCTTCATAGGAATCATGTATGATTATCTCCGTTTTGAAGGGCCTGCACTACACGTCCCCGCTAGCACCATAAATATTGGTGCCTGAATGTTAAATATTTTTGTACAATACTCATAGAAATTATAGAATTGCAACAACATATAAGAACAATATATGCGTCAAGAAATTATAGGAGAAATTGCAACTTTTTTGTTCTGATTAGGTTATTTTTTGGGAAGAAAATATAATGTTTGCACCTTAATTGATTTATGTGTTTGTATTTATGTATAGGTTTTATGAGTAATGTATAGTTTACTTGGGACGACGTTAACAGCGCTATTACGTAACCTTGAAAACTAGACATGCTTAGAAAAGAAAAAAAAGAAAAAAATTAAATTTTCTACCCTAAAAACAGTAAACATCTAACTTGAGTTTGAAAATTAGAGTATAAATCTAATCTCGCAAAAGATGTCGTTAATCTCTAGTCTAGATAATTAAAGTGCAATAAAAATAATATATATATATATATATATAT